AGAGAGAGAGAGAGAGAGAGAGAGAGAGAGAGAGAGAGAGAGAGAGGGAGAGCTAGAAAGCCACCGATGCACACAGCATGCGATTAATTACATCTCTGGGGAACGAGTGTTTGTGCTTTCACGACGATATTTCACCTGTTATGTGGAGAGCGGGAGAGAGAAAGAAAATAAGAAAAAAGTACGCGGGGACGGGGGTGGGGGAGAGTGAGCGCGTGGGAGAGCGATAAAGTGGGAAAAAAAGAGAGAGAAAAAGAAAGAGATATATAGATAGATAGATAGATAGATAGAGAGAGAGAGAGAGAGAGAGAGAGAGAGAGAGAGAGAGAGAGAGAGAGAGAATAACAATGCAACATATCAAGAGCTCATAATAGAGAAATATAATCTATATAATATATTCTCTATTATGAGCTCTTGAACATATCAAGCTTTCAGCATTTATTATATTTGTCAGTCTTAGTTATTTATAACCACTGTGGCTATAGTCTAAGAATATCGCAGTTAAAAAAAGCAAACGTTTTATGAGTTGATTCAGATTTTCACTTAACTTAAGGTAAACAAGTTACGAGTGCAGGGAGCACACCCAAAAGTGGAAAGCAACCACAAAAGGAGCTTTCTCCAAAATTAACAAAAAGAGTTTGGACAGAGAAAGACAATGCAGCAAGAAAAATACAGACGAAGTTCCGTCAATTCATGGCCAAACAAAAACTGGGAGTAATGAAAAAAGAAAAGCTTGAATATGAGGCACTTATGGATAAGCTTGAGAAACAGGTATAAAGGTATAAGATGGTCAAGAAATGACATTTATTTAATGAAAATCCAGATTCTATCAATAAAACAATGTTTTTTTATACTGATTTATTTTTCAGGCATATTGTCAGTTGGTAGAATGGGAGAGGGCTGAGGCAGAGAAAGAGAGATGTAGAGAGCTGCAAGAAATGAAGCAAAGAAAAGAAAAATTGGCAAGAAATAAGAGAATACTAGAAGCAGCATTTGAAGGAGAGATTGATGAGATCATGGCAGTTTTCAACGAGGTGGGACGACAATATTCTATAATGTATCATATTGAATAATATACTATACGATATCATTTTGTATATTTTTATTTGTGGCTATAATTTGATTTTGATGCACATACATTTAAATTCATAGCATCATTTGCAAAATTTATTTACTTTAGGTAAAAGAATTGGACAATGTCAATGGAGTAGCAAAAGATGCCATTGGAAGAGCCACCAGAAATCGCCACTTTCTTGCTGTTGTTAATGCAGAAGATCCAAATGGTAACACCCCTCTGTCTGAAGCTGCAGGTACGTAATTCCATTCCACTGCAGGAGTAGTATTTGCACGTGTCCAGTTACGTAAATGGAATTGATTTTTTTCGGGGATCTGCAAATGCGTTTAGATGTGAATGAATTTTGCTTGTAGCCGGTGGCCAGTCAGCCACTGTGAGGCTGCTGATTGATAAAGGTGCAAATTTGAATGCACAGGGAGCATTTGCGAGAACACCACTTTACCGGGCAGCCTTCTCTGGGCACTTGGATGTCTGTGAGGTGTGAGATAGGGTCTCAATCGAAAGTCGCAGTAAAATATATCAGTATTACAAGTTATATAGCAATAAAAATACATACTAGTCTACACTTATTATTAATGATGAGTAAATTTCACACAGGAAACAGTCTGTTATAATGATTAATAATTAAGGTTTCTTTACCAATGAAAATTCTGCAAAAACTATTGTCATTGCTAAACAAATAACTAAACTTTAAATGTATTTTTCTAAAAAAAGCAACAATTAAAAATGGTCGAAAGTATTCATGTTTACAGGTTAGCATATCATTTTTAGGTGTTGCTACTGCATGGATCAGATCCTAGAATGTATGCCAGTGATGGGAGTACACCTGAACAGGTACAATTTCTATCATATTCAGCATTGAACTTACACCAGTAATCGTTCAGTAAGGACAGTGGTATGTATATTTACCCTAAACATAATTAAATGCTTGCAATTGCTTTTAAGCAGCAATAAATTCACTGTGGAACATGTTATTACAACATACTATTACAGATAAGGTCTATGTCTCCCTGACCTCTGTTTGACCTGGCTCGTTTAGCTATTTCTGACTAATATATATATATATATATATATATATATAATATATATAGGGTTAGGGTTAGTCAGAAATAGCTAAACGAGCCAGGTCAAACAAAGGTCAGGGGAACATAGACCCTACGAGCCATATACTATCGGTTGAAGCTTAAAGCATGTGAAACATTCAAGTTAATAGCTAAAAGAGAATAAACCAATTTTCACAATTGAAACCTGACCAGCATTCCATGTTTCTGCAACGTCACAGGTCGCCTCGACAGAACTGCTCGAACAGTTCTTCAGAAGTTGGGACATATCCGTGACTGAGAAACTTCTGGACAATGCATCGGCTGTCGCTGAGCGGAGGCAGAAAGAGGAGAAGGATATAAGAGAAACTGAGAAAACTCAGTGAGTACGAATTATACTACGTATTGGTTTCCATTGAATGACAAATTCCTAAAGGTCTTCTGATGTCTGGTGCAATAAGGTGGAGCACGTGAGTAAACTACAGTGGAACCCCGATTTTACGCGCCCTGATTTAACGCGAATTCGGATATAACGCGATGAGTCGTTGGACCCTCTTTTTTTTGCTCTTATATAGCCACATATATATAACCCCGATTTAGCACGACCCCGCTTGTTTCGCGATGACATTTTATGGACCCCAACCATCGCGTTATAACGGGGCTACACTATATATATATAGCAGAAAGGTGTATCTGCGTTCTGTAGTGTAGTGCTCAACTCTGTGAAAAGAGGACAGTGTACTGTACCGCGTAATCCCAGTTTTAGAGCCATTATACATGCCACACTAGAGTAGGCAACAATATAACATGCAATACTAAGCTTACAAATATTGGGAAGGCTTATCGAGGGTTCTGCGAATTTTCAAATTACCCACAATGCAATGCCGCCGGCCATGACGGTTCCAGAAACCAGTTCAGGCATGGTACAAGTACATTGAGCAACGCACCTCTGCTCATTTTATTCGCCTATTAAGCAAATCCATCGCAACGCCGCTCTCCTGCGGTGTTGTCAACTGCAGCAATCGGTATCAGAGAGAGCAGTGTTAGAGCTTTAAAATAAAAACCACTCGCCAAACTGGCGAGTGAGTCAATAAGTTAACTCGCCCAAACGGAATCTGTACTCGCCCAAATTTTAAAACAAAAATGCTTGTCAAACAATAGTGAAAAAACACAAAAACACCATTGATTTAGCTACACATGTAGTTTATTGATCACGTTTCTCAAAAACTCAAGGCACATCTCATCTGAAAGTTCGTGTTTTAATTTTCATTTAATTTACTTTTATTCTCGGGCTGCTTTGCCCCAAGAAAACGCTTGCCATCAATGAATCGCCACGTTATGCCAATTTCATTGACTTGTTTTAAACACCAAGGCGAGCCAGTAGTAGCGCTGTCGCTACACTACCCACGATGCGTACAGGGCAAGAAATTAGCCAAAGTGTGAGCAGGCCCACCCAAAATTTTAGCAGGCCCTTAGACAAATGGAACAGGCCCTTACAAGTTTTAACAGGCCCTTAATTGTGTTCAATTTATTCCATCTAATATATATTTGAGTTCGTATGTATGTATCTATGTATCTTCCCTATAGGCGGCCAAACCGCCCAAGCGATCTGGATGCAATTTTCACAGGGCCATCTCTTATACCCCGGGCGTGTTCGTAGCTGAAAAAAACCTGTCAAACCGTCAAACTCGCCGAAAAATCCGTGA